CTTTATTGCACATTAACACTTTAAACACAGTCTTAGCAAATGCACATCCTAAATCCTAACGCCAGTGTAACCACCTCATACACCACACCCACAATACCAACCTTCAGCGTGACATTTGAAAGACAGTGTTTAGCCTTCAGGAAACATCCCCCCAATTTAAAACACAATTTAAATCTACTTCCTCTTCTTGGTTTCATTATCAGACCAGACACTACATTCTTAAATAAGTTTGGTGATCTTGATCTTTACTGTGTAGTTTTAAAACACATAAGCTTTTTTCTCACACATTTCTGCAGTGGGAAACTTCAATCTAAACAGAGGAGGTGGATGAAGACCTCAGGCCAAAATGAAAACTATATATGAACGGTTTCCTCAAACGCGCTGAGGAAAGAGAAGATTAATGACGCCTGAGACTGCTTTTTCCTCCAGACCCTTTATCATACACAAAGAACAAATTAAGTTCAGAAGACTGTGCACTTCACCGACATCGTGTCACATTATTTCTAGGTCATAAAGGTTCGAATTCTGGAAATTATTTGCATGATTTCCCATTTTCACTACAGACCTCCAAAGTGGAGTGTAACCCTCTAAACTGTCTTGTACGTCTATGACTTCATGAACTGTGTTAAAACATAATCCTTTTGTCCAAGCTCTTCAAATCTATAGTTATATCAAGAGAAGAAATAAGTCTTCTTTCGTCTCTGTGAATAAACCTGTTTCCATTGTCTTCATAATTTACAATTTACATACTCTTTCTTCTTCTGTCTCGTTCCTTGCTCTCCCTTGCTCTATAAATGGAAAGGGAAATGTATTACAGAGAGCCGTGCAGCTTCATTATTTTGCTTTGAATTAGTTTGGACCACCCTGCTTGAGCCTTTAGTAGCAACACACACTCGAGAGAGAGAGAGAGAGAGAGAGACCAGGGGGGAAAGTCTGGAATCCAAAGAGCTCAGAGACACATCCACTATACTTACTTTGTCTGGGATGTTAGAATTACATTTGTGCTACACTCAGAGGAACACAAATGGTCACCTCATATTTTAATAATCACGTATCGGCCTTGCAGAGTCAGACCACGGGGTTGACAAACGGAGGTTGAGGTTGAACAGGATTTTATCAAACCTGCATTCAACACTGAATCACTTCATTGAATTCAGACTCATTTAGTGACCTCACATTTAGTGTCCAGACTCTGGATGACACACGACACAGACACAGTACAAGTTTGAGTGGGATCCCCTGAAAATAACATGAACTGCAAATGATTTCACTTTTACAATTATAATAAAGAACAGTGTGACATTTATACGCACAGTAGAAGATCACTGCCACTCTCATACTTGTCTGTTTAATACTGATTTAAAACCAGAAGAAGGTGTGATTAGCTTATAATGACTGGAGGCCGGGGGGGAGCCGATCCCCACACTCAAGAAACTTCTAAAATTGTGACCTTTAAAAGTTGTGGCAGGAGCATTTGCTCACCTATGGACAGAGGCAAGCTGTTACAAACTTTGAGACAAGCTAAGCAAACAGCCCTCTAGCTTCATGTTTAGTTTACAAACATGAGAACGAGTCAATTATGTGTCTGCATCTGGACAAAAGATTTCCACTTCTATTTGTTGTTATCTTATTAGTATTGATTAACTGAGGGTAATACAATCTAACAGTGAAAACATTTATCCCTGCTCTCCTAATGTTAACTGCAGCTAACTCTGGACATGGTGCACAATATGAATCTAAAGGAGAAACAACCTGTAGTATTGTGTTGTTGTGTTTCAGAGGGTTATTCAACCCGACAAAAATCAAGGAAGTGCTGAAATTCATTCCTATCCTTGCTTTTTATTTATTTTTGTAATAAACCATTTCGTTATTCAAAGTCACAATACCGGCTATCAGCAACTTCCATTGTACTTGTATAGATGAAAAAAAAAATCTTGTGCGTGGGCCTTGGAGAGATTTGTGTCTATTCTTGATTGCCTGAGTTTCCCCCGTCTCCAGCAAAGCATTTCAGACTCACTCTATTGATTTGTCCAGTGTAGTGCCCACATTGACTGTGTGGTGTGATGTGAAAGCAAAGCAGAAAACTACACTGAGACAAATGGAAGGAATGGAGAGAGGTACAACTGGAGGCACGGAGCACCGACAGAAAAATATATACAAAATGACAAAAGGTCAGAAAAGAATATGTAAGTACTGTGTATTTTTCTTCCTCCAGTCTGTAAACAGTAACTCAGTCAAGGTTTTTCGGCTCAGTTTACTTTATGAGTCAAGAGGGAAAGTTGGACAGTAGAATGTCTATGATGTATTTACACATGTAAGTGGCATAGTAATGATATATTTTTCCAGTGAAACCACAGATTGCAACCTACTGGCAACAGTAAGTGAGCTACACTGTGATCATCATCTCTCAAAATGATCCTTACTCTAAGTAGCAAATCCCTGAGACAAACACAATGCAGGTGGCAAACACACATGAAAACAATCATTTTGAATGAATGTAGAAATATGGAGGAGCTGACACCATCCAATCCTTGTCTGACAGAAGGACAGCCTGACAACACAATGCCTCATGGCTGTTGTGGTGGCATACAAATACATAAAACTCAGAATACTCAGTACACTCAGAACAGGTTAACCAAAATATTCACCAAGAATTGCCGCTCTCCATCTCAAACCGGTTAATTAAGCTTAGAATGAGATTTAAATGTCCAATTATCCATTATCACGAAGGTGAATTAAAGATGCCAGCATTCAAAATAAACAAATCCTCTCAACTTGGAGAGCAATAGATGTCCGGCATCTCTTTGGATACACGTTAAAAGAGACATTGAATTTAACACCTGGAGCTCTATTCCTAAACAATGAACTACAAGGAATAAAAGACATCACGTGAAATGTTTTCAATTTTTTGTAAGACGTCAACACCTGATGCTAAATTTTGATTTTTTTGTCTATAATTGATTTTTCCCTGTGTGACTTTTATCAGTATTCACAAACAATGTTGAAATCTGACCATCATGGACACCTTCTCTTGCTTGTAACACAGATGGGTGCCTGAAATGCACACCCTACTTACAGGGGTTCAACAGGGCTCAATGCTAGGACCCTTTCTCTACAGCGCCACTTGGTCCTGTCCTGTAAACTCAACTCAAAGCTCATACAACTGCTATATTGACGATGCCGCGCTGTTATTCATGTATTATCTGTACACTTCAACATTCTGTGAAATGAGCCTTAAAATCTGAGTGATTTGTTTCTTCCACTCAAGGGAGGTGGCCAAGTGCTCATTGAAGCCTTTATCGTCTACTGCAACTCCCACCTCGCTGTGTCAGCCAACACACCACACAGACAGCCCAGAAGTCTAGTATGCATTTCCTGTCCAACTTCCCAAAGTTTTTCCACACTACTCTGCTTTCCAGTTCACTACATTGGCTCCATGTTGCTGTTATCCAATACTTCTCTACACAGACAGCCTATACAGAGCTATATTTTAATAGACTTCAACTTTCTCTCATGATCACTGCATTGGCTGCATTAGTCGCATTGCACTTTTGGTTGTAGAGGGCTGTACTCGTGTTTCAAGGTCTGTTAAGTTATGTGCTACAGTTATAGTACAAGTACAGAGGCTGGCAAGGTTACCAAGGTTACTGATGTCTTCAGCCGTCTCCATCCGGCTGTCTCATGACTCTCACCTTGCATGTGTTAGCAGTCCCTCATGATTATGAAGTGGTCTCTACATTCTTACTAAAATAATAAATAAATATTTCTATAAATATCATTTGTATGTCTTTATTTGACAGGAGAGTGAAGGTGAGACAGGAAGCAGGGTCAGAGAGTACGGGAGTAACATGCATCCGAGTAGAACCAAGGACCAGCTGCTCAAGGTTTGTGCCCATGTGGTATGCAGCATAACCATGTGGCTATCACTTCGCCCCCACACTACATTATGATTTAAGCAAAGCACAAGTTGCTCAAAAATAATTAAGCAAATGTGTCACCCTTGTAACATTGTTTGGTGCTTGTGCTAAATGATGCTCAAATATTTCGAGAGATTTGCATAAACTTCTCCTTTATATTTCCTTGTAAGCTCCAAAGCCAGAGAGAGCTCCTCTCCCACACTGAACAGCAACAGGGTGACATTTGTTAATGACTAGCCGAGAGGAGGAGCGTGTGTTCCCCAACGCCTCTTATTTAAGGCTGACATTTTATCCTGACAACGGGTACCTGCACGCAAACCGCAATGATTTGGAAATGTCACAAGTCCAACCTTTGAGGCAAAGTAGTTTGTTTCACCCGACTGGTGTAGACTGAATCCCATCAGCCCTTTATGCACTTTACAGTTTTGGCAATGAGGATCCCTTCCTGCTCTATCCCAGCCCATATCTCAGGGATCATCTTACATATTCACGAGCCACTGGCTCAGTGCACCTCTGGCAATGCTGTTAGTCAGATTGGCTTGTAATACACCATGATGTCAACATGTCTCATCTTTCATATGTTCGTTTCTGGCTCTATCTCAAATTCAAGGCTCCAACTCTAAATGTCTGCCAGAGAATACAATTAAATGAAAGACAGATAATTTTCATCCTGGGATATGATGAGATTTAAGGAATCATCCACAAGTTGATGATTCAGAATTTGCTTTATGTATCACTCTCTGCAAGCCTGTTGTGTAACAGCTAATATTGTGTTGTTGAAGCTTGGTGCCAATCCCAGTGCTGACTTAGCTTCGCTTAGGTTCACTTGCAAAAGGCAGATAATTCGTAACATTTGGCTTCTCCTCTGATACCTGGCAATGGCAGAAAAGGTATTCAATGGTTCAATGGTACAATGATATGCAAAAAGACAGGATATGTTCCATTTTGATCCTTCCTCCAGTCTCCACTTCTTGTCTTTACTCTGTCACAGACCTTTTTCATAGAGAATCTGAGATTGAAATGAGGAGGAATATACAGTATGACAGATACAGTAACTGGGAAGAGCAGGGATGGGCCTTATCAACACCCCCAGTACATCTATTAAAGCAGTTATCTCCCCCAGGTCACACTGATGGGACCAAAGGCTGAGCTCTTTAAGGTCTGATTAGTACTCTATTCCTCAAGATCCCTATTGTTAGATAAAACCCTCCATTTATGGCTCCTTAATTATCTTGAGCAGCTCTGCACTGCCAGAAGCCCTTGTGATATTCCATTATTCTAATCCTATTAAAATAGGATTATGCTTGTCATCATTTTTCACTATCACTATTGCTCATGAATGTAGCAGCTGGCCGTAGCTATGCTGCCAAAAGTGATGGCTTGTCTTAATCCCACCAACAAAGCCTTACTGGTGAACTGTTTCCCAGAGAGCTCAAATAGTTCTCAATAGGCACCTCAGCCCCACAAGTCAAGGTCTGGAAACAATACTCTCTAACTTCCCTACCCCCAGAAGGCATTGTGCCCCGAATACATAGATTCCAGATGAGGGGATCGTGAACAGCAGGGCAGTGTAGTTTTAAAATATTTTTTTCTAATATAACTCAAGTGCCCATCTCAGTGCTGGTATGTGTAGTCAGCCTGAGACAGAAGAACAAAGTGTGGGGAGACGATGTGAGACGATGTGAGCCGATGTGAGCCAGAGCTAGTGTGGTACTCGCTTGATGTTAGTTGTAGCTACATAATGTTCTGCTAGACCTCAACAACCTTTGGTCGGATTTTTAATTCAGCCCCACGCCTGCCCTGCTGGATGGAGGTGGTTGACTCTGCCAGTGAAGATCATCCTACTCCTGGTCCAGGAAAGCTCCTGCTGTATTATCTTAATGTGTGACATCTCCTTGCTCTGTCTAAATAGTGTTTGAAGATGTAGAAAAAACAAGGCTGCAGTTTCGTCACCCTGTTGTGTATGAATGTGAATAAAATCAACCAGCTTCATTTTAATAAAATAAACAATACTAAAGCACTAAATGAACCAATATATGTCACTGCCCAAATGCAGCATACCCATAAAGGACTCACCTATCAAATAGGGACAAGGGATATGTATTGCATTTCCTGAAATATTTGTTTAGACTTCTGTTTTCTTAGAACACACTGAGAATGAACATTATTAATTAGAATCAACCACATCCTCCACAGGGAATGATTGAGGCTGCTTTATGTTGTTGTATATAGTTATATCTACACTGTCTAACGCTGCCTTCTTGTTGTGTTCACTGTAAATTCCATCGCAAAGATCATGCACTTGCAGATAACACCGACAGATCACGATCTCTCTCAGACACTCGCAAACAACAGGCCACAGAGAACAGCTTCCTCAGCATCTTCAGATCATGTCGCTAGTTGAAAGTGCATAAGCAGTATTCACATTTCTTTGAAAAGCATTTCTGTCCAGAGCAGCATGTTTAACAAGGGAGGAGGTGAGATCCTAATCATATCTACCCTTGGCTCTAATTGTCTGCTGCCTAAATGAGGCTTCCACTATCCAAACACTGACTAACAAAGACAAACATACAGTGTTTCCAGTTGCCTCCAGCCAAATATTGATCTCACATCTGTTACACTCAGCAGAATTTGCTGAAGTGGGAAAGTGGTTACTCACTACACTGCTTCACTTTGCTGTAATACAATGTGGGCTTTTTAAAATGCATGCAGGTGCACAGCAGGAAATGCCTTGTTTAAGATGCTACATTACATTTCAGGAACGATATCCATCTAACCACAGGAGAACTGCTCTGCGACAATACAGCGAAACACACAAATGTGCTTAATTACTTTCTAGCAACCATACTACACTGCAAATTGTAATGATTAAATTAGATTTAGAGGGTTCCTGGGCAGTATTACTCGATTTTCAACTTGATATTTTATGCCACTAAATAACATTTAGGAAATGGAGCTAGAGCTGCGGTGTGATTAGCTTAGCATAGAGACTGATAAAGAAAAAGATTGTGGTCAAAACATCCTTTGTAAATTCATTCTTAATCAAAATGAAATGAATAAACTGTCACAGTTTGAGTAGTGTCATTGGATCAACTAAACACATTTCATATATATTTAACTACAAATGACTTCTCTCTCTCTTACCCGAGTGGTGGTGGCGAACATGTACTTGTCTCGGAGCTGGAAGCTGTCCACCTGCTCCAGGATCACTCTGCGGTTCTGTTCACTCTGGAAGAAGTCGGTGCTGCTGAGAATGGTGGACACTCCCTGGGGCTCGTGTCTCTGGACCAGCACTGTGGTGGGGGGGTCATAGGGCTCCACACCCCTGGGGTGGTGGGAGATGGGAGGAAGAGAAAGGGAGGATGGGAAGGATGTTAGAAGAGGTATTGTAAAAAGCAAGGGCAGATAATGGAGGACGAGAGATGTTTGTCAGCCAACTCTTCTTGAGACACTTTGTTTGCATATTTCTACGTTAATCCATTTGCTTCCTTCCAAAAACAGCAGTTTTCGAGGTTACTTAATGGAGTACAAGTAGGCGCACATAAAACTTTTAACACCCCCTTCCTCCATCTATGCCAACCACCAACAGGAAACCCTCTTCAGTCTCCCTCTCTTCACGGGCCAGCACTTTCTATGTGTCATCACCAAAAAGCTGCTGTGATGCTGTCGCTTAATTCTAAATCGATTCTGTTCAAACTATAATCAAACTGACCGATGAACTCATTCCATCATTTATACTACATGTGGAAATACATTCGTTGATCTAGCCACACAACGTAGCTACCTTCACAAACTACTGCAGCGAGGGAGCTGCTCACTGGGAACGCACTAGTATCCGTCGGTCACAATAGCGCTCTGATCTTTCACGTTAGCTTGGTAGCTAATAGGACAAGTTCACACAGGTCAGTCAAAAGAAAATGTCCAATTTATAAAAAAATATATATTTCCTGTGGGTCGTACATTTGATATCATTCATACTGTAAAAAGCAATATCCTGCCACAACATCGGCTGTGGTTGTGAGTTCAAACGTGCGAAATAAGATACGCTGCAATGCTAATAATCACAGCCTATGCTGAGTATTAAATAAGCAAAGGTTGTCGGCAGTTCTTCAGCTGTCGTTGATCTAACTATTGTCGTTTTCTGTGCTCTCTGCACGCTGTGGTCCCGACTTGTTTAAGCTGTGACAGAATACACATAACTCTGTAACAACGCTGTACAACCACAGGTGTTTCACAGTTTCGACAAGTACAACAGAGCGAGACATCTTCTGTTCAATGGACCACGTCACATCAGTGTCAGAGGTGCTATTCTCAGTTATTTCACCTGCATTGTAAAATAAGGTGAGAAACAGGCTTTTCAACATCTGAATAATCGTTCCAGCTCGAAGAACTTTACTCAACATCTTCAGAGGTGTCAGTGTCAAGAGAACCTGCTTCACCACCTGGAATAACTGAGTACTTCTGGCCTTCACTGAGCTGCTTCAGAAGCTTCTCACACCGACTCAGAGTCCTCGACAGTTTCTGCTACAGAAATGGGCAAATTTCAAGAAAATAAACGTCTGAGTCTATCAAATGCGACGTGATTATTAAAGTGAAAATATCTGGTCAACCTTGACAGACAGCACGGTCAAACTATTTATGACTAAGGTTGCTTCAAAAGCCACGGAGCAGAGAATCGTCCAGAATGAATGAAGTAGATTCACGGCTTCTTGTGCCTTCCAAATCAGAGTGTTTTCCTGCGGAGTCTCGAGAGGCGAACAGAGAGAGCAGTGTCTTGGCTCAGCTCTGCCTCAGTGGCATTCTCTCAAAGAGCCCTGTTTAACTGATGGACACTGTCTGGGCACAGAGTGCTTGGAGAGCTATTCCCAGTCTGTCTCTGTCCCTTCCTTTGAATACATCTTTTAAACGCCTCTGAAACACCCTTCCTCCACTGTGTTGGCAGTTTCTCATTTTCCTCAAGTCCTGTTTTTTACTGAAATGGTTTTGTAGGAAAATATCAACAGGTTTCTCTTTACAGCAAATAGTGAACACATTCACTTCCCCGTCCTAAAAGAAGATCAGTCTGAGTCATGCAGTCGTGTTTAAAGGGAAAGGTCATCTGCTGTCTACAAGGTAATACAGGAACAAAAACGCTTGACTTCTTTTAACTTGGCGTAGATCCTCTGATTGATCCACACTCACTGAGCACTTTAGAAGTTGGAAAGTTTCCTCAGAGATTCTGCTCCATGTTATCATGAATGGATCAAATCTTCTCTGCAGATTTATCAGCTGCACATTCAAGCTGCAAATCTTCTGTTCTACCACATGACAAAGGTTTGACTTTGTGACTATGTGAGCATCATTCTCATGAGATATCAGAAGAACTCTTTTGGATAATTGGCTGTGCCTGGTGAAGTAGTTTAAAATTAAAACTCCAGAAAACATTGTCACCAGCTCACTGCCGTGTCTTATCCTAATGTAATTGCAAATGTTGCGAGTCACAGCCTATATGTCTGTGTGGCTTCTAGTCTAGAATTATTCTCCTGTACAGCTGTGCGAAGCTCATGTACTGTAAAAGCTCAGCCCCTCCTTGCCTCACACTCTCTCTCTCTCATACACACACACACACACACACACACAAACACACTTACAACAGGATGTGTCTGATGTTTTTTTTGCTGTGAGAACAAATATGATCAAGAAGGGAGGTTCGATCACAAGCGATCTCTGGAGACATTCTAACACCAGGTGTGAAGTGATGAGCTCCGAGCTGTCCTCTTGTGATCGCATCACCTGAGACGGATGTTAATAATAACACCAGGTCTGAACAGCACCTCTGTGATCAGGGATTCTTACCAAAAGTAGGTCTTCACATGCTCTTGGATCAACACCCATGTCTCCCCAAAGTCGTCTGATTTCCACAGCTGCAGGGGGAAGGAAGGGAGAGAGGGTGCAAGTAGAGGGAGGTGGGTAGGGGGGAGGGGGGGAGGGTGAAGATGAAGAGGGGGTGCAATGTAAAAATGTAGGTCAAGCTCATTCCTTTACTTTGGCTCTTTCACTTGTGACGAGAATACTGGGGAGCCATTTGGCACTTTTGTGCTTGAACTCGACAATGAAACCAAAAGAGCTTACATGCAAAAATCTAAGCAACCAATCATCTCCTCTCCTGGTTACCACAGACTCCACACAAAGCACTTAATCAGACCGTGCTGAAAAATTTAAAAGCAGCTCAGAGGGAGCAGAATATATTAAATTCATTGAAACCAGACAATGAAACTTTACTTTTTCTGACACAAATAAATGTAGGTATGTTAATAGGACTGGTAGAATGTTTGTAAATGAAAATATTGTCTGTCTAGCCATCTTCATAAATATCTCCACAAAGACAGTGCACCTATAAATAAGATTGGACTTCCTCCCATGAAGACAGAAGCCGTCTTTACCTGCTTGTTTGGGTGGGAGCTGTCGTAGGCCAGCACCAGGTTAGAGCTTCTGCTGTGGAGCAGCAGGTCTGTTGGTTTGAAGGGCAGGGAGAAGCCCTGGACGCCCTTACAGAAGTCAAACGTGTTCCAGAGGTAGTTGTTGGTGGAGTCTACAAAAAGGTACTGAAGAAGAAGAAACACACACACACACACACACACACACACGTCATGAGACATTTCAGGCAGAAATACAGCGTGCTGTCATTTCTAAACTCATTCGACAAAAATATTCTTAGGAAGGAAGACGAGATTCTTACACAAGGAGTTTATTCCCCAGCCTCATTACAAAGTTTGATGATGTAATTGCACAGTGCTAATCCCACTACTCTCAGCTGGCTTCAATGTGCTGTGTCACTGTATTCCCAGTAACCTCTCAATGATGCATAATCAGGACACAGCGCAGCTTCACTGACTTAAGGCCGAATCACCACAGACCAATGGGAAAATTAAAAAGACGTAGGGTAGCATTATGTTATTAATAATCTTTAGAGGGACGCGCCAGACAATTCAGTATTACTTTCCATCAAGTTGTGGAACTCACAACAGAACAGACATTTTTAACATGCACCTTCAAATCTGCTTCCTGATTCCACCGGCACACACACGACCAGCATGTGTGAAGTCATGTGTTTTCATGTGTGTTAGTGTAGATGGAGTCTACTTCTGATATGGAGACAGAACATGTAGCAACAAACAAATTCATTGGTACCTTAGGCTAAGAACAGCGAGCTAAATTAGTATCCAGGAGCACGTGACCATGTTGCACACCATGGTCCGCATGTAACCACTGACCCCGGGCTGTGACTCACCCTCCTGTTGTCTGCAGGACTGTGGTAGAACTGGGAGATGACCTGCTTGCTGCCTTCCTTAAACTTGGGCCCTGAGAGCTGGAACTTGTCTGAGACGAGCGTGAAAGTGGTTCCGTAATCATACGACACATAGACCTGGAGACAATAGAGACAGAGAGGGATCAGCGCCTACACACATCCCATGGCTCTAGAATTTAGCATGTAGATCAGATCTGAACAATTTACTTTTACAGCAAAAGGATATAGATGATGAGTAACTAGAATTACAGCCCTGTGGTTGTAGAAGAAGAAACTTCTTCTACAAGAAGTTTATTTTCAGACTCATATGAGGTCACTCTTACTTTTCACCTCTAAAATCTAATCAGCTTCAAAATTTGAAGAATTTAAAATTGACTTTTGATGACTTGTCCTAAACTGAAAAAGAAATGATTATATTACTTCTTGTGGACAAACTACAAACCACTGCTGTCTCTAGAATGTGAAATCCTCCCATTTATGTGACTGAACATGCTGAGGCAGTTCCATAATTTAATATTTAAATACCTAATGTGACAAACTATTTGGCTTTAAAGTTATAGTTACATCTATATATGTGTGGTCTAAACTGAACAATTCTTTGAATTTCAAATAAAAATGAAGATGATGCTAGTATTAAAGTTACAAACACATCATAATGAAACCATTTCAGCGACAAATTAAATTGGGGAAGAAGGAAGCAGCTCAGATGGGGGAGGAGGAAATAGAGGAAACATCTGCACACCGTCTACTGTCTGCTTTCTTACAGACAATGTGCAGGTGTTTTACCTCCTTTTCTTTAGTTGTCTCTGCTCCACCTGTGCACTTGACATTCAGAACATTCAGGTGTGCAAGAGAGTTTTCTTTTAAAAGATGCAGAAATAGAGGAAGAAATAAGAGAAATGTTCTGTTTCTTGAACTTGATTAATGTGACAATCATAACATCATCAGCAACATGTTAGACGAGTGTGACCACATACACGTTCTGCAGCGCTAAAAACAGAGCTTTGGATCAATGTGCGCTTGTAGCCACTGTAGCTTTGAGACATAAGCATGCTAACTTGTTTTGTTTTTGCATTGGGTACTTACAGAGCTGGTTCTGGTCCCGGTGGCTCCAGCGCTGTCTCGGGCCAAAGCTACAATGACGTTGCTCTTCTCTCCAGCCCAGTGCACCACCATCTGGTTATGGGAGTCATTCAGGTTGGCCTGCAGGACACAAACAGGTGGACGTAAATATGCATGTCACAGAAAAGGCAAGCTTGGAAACACTGCACACGACCTCTCTTCTGACCAATGTAAGATTAATCTTTGCCATAAAGAAAAAACGACAGTGACAGTTAAGATGTCATCAAAACCACATTATAATATAAGTATAACTTTATTCATTATTAGAGAATAATGAATAGAAATTGTGCGTGTGTGTGTGTACAAGATAGTAAAATGTCACCCAGAGCAATAGTGAGGCTCGTTGATGTGTTAATAGTCTGTGGACAACAGCGGAGCTCTGACAGATAAAAATGAACCACACAAACAAAACTCGCTGGAAGGATCAGTTCAGTGTTTTGGTCTTTTTATTCGCTAACCATAAAAGATGAACACAGAACACAACCAAGCCACATAAACATCTGGCTGATCAAGATCTATCACTGTGTGCCTATGCATATGGTCACATTTCATGTGTACGTACAGTATATGGTGGCTAATGCAGCAGCTTGCTCTGACACATACTCCCTCCTTCAGTGCACCTCCCATCGGGCACATAGATCAATGAGAAGAAATGGGCTATTTCATCTTTTTCATTGTCACCACCTCGCCATCTCATCTCCACATTGCCTTCCTTGCATTATCTTTTATTGATGATTCTCCGAGAGGCAGGCCTGTAAAAGGACTCTTTTTTTTTTTTTTGCTTCAAAGCCCTTTTCTGCACTCAGACACGTCCTTCCACCCAGTTCTGCTTTGTAACGTCCACTCTCACAACAAATGATGCAGATGACAGCACTAAAATGTGAGGGTGTGAGGAAAACTGAGTTAAATAAAATATTCATTTTAAGACATTTCAGCCATTAAGCATAGCTGCTGGTTGTGTGGTGAGCACTGCTAGGCCAGGGTTTGGATTTTCCATTCTGTACCAGCATCGAGTAGTCACCTCTAATAAAGAGACCCACAGATACATCCACCCTCAAAAATCCATAATCCAATACAACAACAACACATGCTGCATTTTGTTAGACGGCTGAGTGATTCTTGAAAATGTAGGAAATCATTAAGGGTTAGACTTCAGACAATTTTACATCTCTATGTTATGGAAAGCCTCAAATATGATGTGAGTTTTTCCTCTATAACAAGACGTTGCCAGAAAACAACAACATTAATGCAGGATTTGACTGTAAGTTACCAACAAGACACAAGTTTTATCTTTCCCACATGACTTCCAACAAAGGATGAGTCATGCAGTCATGCAGCCAGCTTCCCTGATAAACAACCTGCTCTTGCTTCAGTAATCAGCCCTGTGCTCCGCCTCCTCTGTCTCCCTCAGGGCTGCCTCAGTCAGAGCCAGGGTTGTCTGTCAGGCCAAGGTGTTGAAACTGTAAATCTCTTCATTTTAGGCTTCATTGGCCACGATGTGACCGGGCAAAAAGAAAAGCGCCAGCTGCCCTGCAGACCATCACTGATGAATCTAAGACAATGCTGATGACTGTGGAGGATCTGTTTGCCAAAAGCTCCATTCATTGCAAGTCACTGCTCCATTCACAAGTAAGCAGTGGCTCAAAATGGAGGCCGGTGCAACAAGGTCCACTCATCATCAGGGCCGTGACGGGGAGCATTATTTCTGTACCGTAAAACCCTGCTCGGGGTTTGGTATCAAACTCTACTGCTACCAAATTCATGTTGAAAGAAAAATGAAATCTCTTTGTTCATCTCTGGCTCACATATCCTAAGAACCGCACATGGCCAAGGAAAGTGCAAAGCTTAATTTGCTGAGATTTGGACACATGATATGTTCCAAATGAATAAACTTTGAATAAACTGGCAGCTGAGACTCATCAAAGCATTGACGCTGTTGACCATAACAACAGTATTCACGACAAAACAACTGGTTCTGCTAACTGAGTCGAGCTTCCCTGATATTTCAAAATAAACAAGTAACCTTTGTGCGGTGGCGGTTTGGCTCAGGAGGTAGAGAGATGGTTCGATTCCGAGCTTGTCCAGTCTTCATGCCACTTTGAGTGAGCGTTAATTCTCTGTGTAAATGTGTTTAGGATCCATTTCTGTCTGTTTATCTAACACTCCCAAAAAGCTGCATTGTACAATCATTCATACTAAACAAAACACTAAATTATTTCAATTCCTGTGCTGTTTCCCATGACCTTACGGAGATACCCCTTTCCTGCAGAACAAAGACCACAGGACCATGTTTTCTTATATAACCACTGGCCCCAGTTTTATGGGAAGATAATGTTGTCGTGTCCATTAGCTGATTATGAACATTATAAACAATGCAGGAGAAATTGAAAAGAAAGAAAAGGTGTTGAAATAGATGTACACGTACATTTCAGCATTAGGATCTCGGGGTTGATGCTCTCTCACCCCTTTCCTGCAGATGCATGCTCCCTCTCTCTTTCTCACCCATCACTCTGTTATTTAATTAGTGTTATAGATTGGGCTGTAATATAATTAAAACTAAATTCAAACACATTAATTTTACTACGGCTTCCATTATTTTAATATTTAATTCAAAAAATCTGAAATGTACGGTTAATAATTAATGAGACTGATTCAATCAGACTCATTTTTATGAGACTGAGCCGAATAACACAATTGTACCTATACAAATGTAGGTTAATTCATTAATTCAGTTCATTAATAATTCAAAGTTTTATTTTCTAAGTAAAGATCTCTGAGAGCAGGAAGTCGTCCAACACTGTCACAACACTTAAAAGAGCACTTCACCAGTTTGCATTCCTGTAACACTGTCAGGCTCTTTAAAGAAAGAAACCAGGAATATTCTTGTTTTTATTCCATGTATTGTCTCTTTTTCAGAACCTGGGGCCTCCAGACACAACAACACACATCTCAGCCGATGACAGTCCTGTCAGAATTTCTGATATGTTGTGCTAGTGGTGGCTAACGTAGCCTAGAGCCTGACACAGGGAGAAGTTCTTTGTGAATCCACAAAGTGCAGAATCAGAAAGCATCCAAAGAGGCAACACTGTCCAACAAATCTTGAACAGGACCCCAGTCCATGCAACTACTTGAAACCAGGCAGATTCCAGAAGGACACTATAGGGCTGTCGAGCCTGAGGAGCTCGAGCTATAACCAAGACCAGTGTGACGCTATAAGATGTTGAAACTGTGCACTTGGAATATATCTGAGTAACTAACCTCAAAGTGGAAGTTTGCCTCCTTGTATGTTGGGCTGGAAGGACTAACTAACACTGCTAAGGAAAAGAGGTTGAGACCAAACATGAATATTGTGAAATCTAAAAGTGACAAAAGATGAAATAGTGGCAGGAGTAAAAACCTTCCACAGTTGCCTGTAAGTATTCAAACCGTTGTGCATTCGTCACTTAATCCATCTTTACTTTTTTAGGATTGAATATCATTGTTCAACCAGAACTTTTAAACAACACTGAGGCCTGAGGTCCGTCCCTGACCTGCACTTTGAACTCATTTCCCAGACATGCGATCTGTGCCTTCAATGCTCTCGATCTGATATTCCACATACACATCACTGTCTTCTTTCACTTTACGTGGCTTATTTGTGTCAGACTTTGCTTTTCACTAACAAGCCATTACATGCTGCTGAGAAACTGGCTGCATTCCTCATTGGTGCTTGCATCCAAATAAAAAAAGCTGCCGGACTTGTCTAACTACGAGGGTTTCAGTTGGCTGCCTGACAACAATTACAAAAGCATCTTCATCCGTTATGCAAGCCTCACTAATGTATATTGATTATTTACGGTATAGCTTAAAGTCCCACCAAATTGTTTTTGCAGTATTAAATATTCACAAAGCATTATAATTGCCATGGGACCATGTGAGTAAAGGCCTTGATACAGGCCTATTGGAATACAGCATTAGTCTTGTATAGCGTCATCTATACACCAGACATGCATGCCAGACATTTCTCCATGTGAAACCTGGACACCAATAATGCAGTAAAACAAACTCTAGACAATACTGTTGACCCAGTATCATGGCGTGATGTAGACACTCTCCTGGGAAAGTGTAGGCACATGCACAGTCTGTCGTTTCCCCGTTGTCTCACTACGAACAATAACGCAGGTTGTTGAAGGAGTGGTTCAATTATTCAGCTTATTTCAAGACTTTGCATTTCTGACTCTTTCTTTGCCAAAAATAATCTTATATATATTATATTCAGCCAGTAGAATTAAGTTATTTAAATCTTTCTAAAGCAAGTTTCTTTTTTTTGAGACTACTTTATTGCTATCTGCTGCTGCGTTCCTCTCCTCCCTTTCCACCCCTGTGGCACTTTGATAACGTTGGTGACTAATGGTAGCAGGGCTGAGTGATGGGTCAACCAAACTGGGATGTCAAAAAATATATATTATCAACTAAATATAAAGGAAAAACCTCAAGAATGATGTTTTCAGGTATATTTCCAGTCTTATTCAGAACAAAGCTCTTGACCATCAGAGCACTGGTTTGTTGGTTTATCTCTGGTGTTTAACTGGCCTGATATCCCTATAAGACAACCGAGTCTTTCAGGCTCTGCACTGTGATGACTATCAACGATGAATCATCCCAAATCTATAGCATGGAGGACTTGAGCTCGCTGTCTGGTATTAACCCGAAAGTGATTTGCAGACATGTGCAATTCTATCATGGTCTTTAATCAGCAAACAATCTATTTAATGGAGCGTGTTTGACCGCTCAGAGCGCTTTACAGTACGGCTTTCACACACATTCATGCAGTGCATCTATGTGCAGCATTTTCTGTATCATACATCACTCATACACTACTGGCTCAGTCGTCAGGGGCAACTTGGTGTTAAGTATCTTGCCCAAGGACACTTCGGCATGTGGGAGACTGGGATTCAACCTGGTTTGGGTCATTTTATTCGTTTGGAATCATTATATCTTGCTATAGGAGATTGCTGATAGCCTGGGAGCAGTCAACATACATTGGAATAACTAATACTCTCACCACCTGCTCTCGGGTGATGCTCAGCCCCTTCAGTTGA